TGGTTGAGAGTGCAACCACCTTGTACACTTGTCTTGGACTGACACCACTACCGGCCATCCACCCTTCCCACCTGGGTTGAGGGTACCACCACCCTGGGTTGGTGATTTTTTTGATAAAAATAAAAAAAATCGATTTTTAAAATTTAAATCAGATTTAAAAATTTTTTTAAATCAATTTGATTTTAAAAATAAAAATCAACTGATTTAAATCAACCCAGCTCTGATTTCAATTATGGAAAAAAAAAGTAAATTGAATACTGTATTATTTTACAGTGAAAGGGGGGAAATCAGACTTTTAAGCATGATTATATTAGTCTACTGAATCTTATATCTGTTTTATGAAACCAAGGAAAGGAATTCTGAATGTTGAAATGTGTAAAAACCGAATAAAAATAATTTAAAAAAAAAGTGATTTAAATAACTGATTTTTATTAAAAAAATCAAGTTGATTTAAATTTAAAAAATCAACTGATTTAAATCAACCCAACCCTGCCACCACCATTATCTGTCACCTATCCCCCATCCTCTCCGTGGGTGAAAGTACCACCATCTGTACGCTTTGTGTTGGACTGACACCGCATTTCTCTTTTCCCCCCCACAAGTGCCACCACCTTGTACACTTGTGGTTAGACTGACACCACATACCTCCTTTCACCACAACCTCTCCCCCCCCCCTTCCCTTGGTTGAGAGTGCCACCAAGCTTGTACGCTTGTCTTGGACTGACACACCACTACCAGCCACCCATGTGCTCCCCGTTTGCTTGTTTCAGTGTGCAAGGTCAAACAGGAACTGAACCAACTGGAGAGTTCTGGCATGGAGCTCTCCGGGACTGTTGAGGCAGACCTAGGTAACCCATGGCGACAGTGTGTGTGTGTACTATGTGACCTCCTCGGCCATTTCCTTTGCCCTTTTGGGTGATCTTTTTGTTTCTCTATGTTGTTCCAACTAACAAACTGAAGCGTCTTGTGGCGGACATGTCACTGTTGACGCTCTGGCGATAGGTGGCCGTTATCGTGCCGTCTTTGGCAAAATTTTGACTCAATCAACGTTTATTCGCCCTGAAAGGTTTTGCTACAACTGTTTGTACAACTTTTTTTTTCAAAGATCTATCCGATTATAATTGATTGGCGTACATAGTTGGCCTGATCAGTTGAAAGGTTGATGAATAGAGAGGTTTAAGAACCTGTGTAACAGGCATTATTTTATTTATATGCATAGTTTGATGAATATTTGGTACAAAATGAAGCTAATACCTTTTGAAATGTTAAGGTATACATCTATACTGTCGTCTATGGATGAGTTGAATGTCATCGGGGGGGTATAATTGAAAGATAATTACTACTTGCCCCAACTTCACAGCCGTCATCTGTTTTGGAAGATTACGCAGTACTGGGATCTGCATCTTAATCAATCTATAATGTCTTGGGCCAGTTTATTTTTGAATAAGGCGAAGGAAAAGAAATAGTTAGGAAAACATATATTTGAAACAGAGCGACTTTTTGAAGCTGCCATCTGCAGTTTTAGACTCAGTTTGATTGGTTGGAAATTGTCGTGAGCTTCAGACTAGGCATTTGTGTTTGCATTATATTGTTATCGTTCTTTTTTACATGGTTTGTGGCTTGCACAGACTGTAAAAAAATGTTCTGCACACTTTTGTGCAGCGTTTCTGTTGGTATACCGCTTGTGGGTGTTGCCTGCCTCTCTGCTTCTTCTATTTTATCTGTATGTTTCCTTCTTTTCTGTGTGTGGGCCGATAGTGTACACTGGGTGACTGCTAGTGTAAGACCTGATAAGGAAAAGAAATAATGAATGACTTTAAACGGATGTTGGTAGCTTTTCGCTTTGCTCCTTTTTTTTTTTTTTAAGTGCTATGACTAAACGATTAATTGTTGATTATCATACACTAATTTTAGTAAAATGTGGATGTTAATGTGCTGATTCCACTAAAAATTGAGACTCATTAGCAACCACCAGTGTTATTCAAGTCAGGGTGGTGAGCAGGGGCTTCTGGAAAAGGTCAAACCATTGCCACCAGTATTTTGTTTTACTTAAACATGCACTATGCTGTCTAGGTATTGTGATGGGTACTTTTTTTTTTGTAATTTGCCGTTTTTATAAAGAAATGTTGCATTACCAGTAATAAAAATTCTGGACAGCAGTTGTTTTTATATTGACATGGTGGTTTAGTGTGGGTTTAGGATAGGTTTGCAGGTGGGACTTATTTCTCCTTCCCCATCCTGTTCCCTTATTTCCACCCCCTTTATTTATAATCTCCCCCCCCCCCCCTTCCCAATCCCTAGTCTTTCCTGTTGGACCTGAGTCCTATCAGTGACCTCTTAACCTCTGCCCCAAGTCCTGTCAATTCTTGGCCTCAGCCCTGAATCTTTTCATGCTTCTGACAGCTCCAAATCTTATGAATCATCATCATCATCCATTCCCCCCCCCCCCCTGTCCTGTCTGTGTCCTATAACTTTGACCCCTAGTTAGTTGTGTCCCTGCCCCTAACCCCTCCCTTTCACCCTGTCCAAGCAGGTGGTCAGTATGAGCTCTGGTTTGGTATGCTCCTTCTTCTTCTCTATTGTATGTCCAGATCTGATCATGTTGTTATGTGGCTGTTTCATGCTGAGGAATTTTTTAGAGCCGCTGACCTTTGCATTTCCTTTAGCCTTGACCCTGTGCTCAAATCTTGAGGTTGTAAGCAAGATAGAGTTGCAATTTTCTTCTAGCTGTACCAAGCAGCGTGCATGAATATGCAGTAGGCTCCAACTAAGATCCTGATGCTTGGGAGCAAGGAAAATGCGGGATTTTAGGTAAACTGTTTAAACAGGACCAAGGGGAGAATCCACAATGACTTATGTTCAGGCCCCATAATCTGTAAAATGGTCTCCCTTTATTCTGAAATGTACTGACATACTGACCCCTGGGTGAATTCAAAGAGTGGTCAACCTTGATGACCAACCACAATGGCATGAGGCAGTCCATTTCTACTTTTTCAATGAGTCTCAAGATCTATGTGGATCCCATTGCTCCTCCCCTTTACCTGTCCAAAATGTTTAACTTTCTATCTCTGAGTTCCCTCATCTCTATCGTTACACACCATGGTGTTGGGACCACACCTATTGAAATTCATTTTGTTTAGCAAATTCAAGTAAAGAGACAACTGCTGCAATGATTAGGGAAACAAAAGCACTGAAGAGTTGACAGTTCAATGTGCTCCCATCTGATACGGACTTGTAGGCTCTACTCACCCAGTTAGTGATGTATATTTGGGTGAAGAGCTCAGATGCAAATGCTTTATTTGGGGGAAACAATCGCATTGACAAGTTCACACCTCGATATGATCCTGTCTGGAGCATACATCTTACCGTTTCATCAAGATTTACTATGGAGGAGTGGTTGATCTGGGATGTGAAGGGCAGTTTAATGATCCCAAATTTTCATTGCTTAGTTGACCAGCTGTGCCCACCTGAAATTTTGTGCCCTAAATTATGGAATTATGTTTTCTTAAAACAGCGGGATCGTAAATGGTAGGATCTTTGGCAGAGACCACTGTAGTGACTTGATTTTTTTCCTACACCTTTTTTTTCTGTGCAATGGATGAATTTCGTGAATGCTGGAGCTCAAGAATGTTGATTAGAAGCCTTTCTGTGTTGTCCGATTTCGGCTTGCCTCTTGTTTCAAGAACTGTAACAACTGTTGTAATGGAAGGTTACATTTTTATTTGGCATCTCTTTGTAAGTCTGTGGTACTACTGGGCTGGAGCTTTGTGTGTGTAATTTTTCTCTCTCCCTTTTTTTTGGGTGAAAGTCAAGGTTTTCAGTATTGTTGGCCGCCTCTATGTGCCGATGTGGGTTAAGGATTACGATGTGTTTTCATTATTTTATTGTTGTTTGCTGCATGTTTGTTTCTAAGTGTATGGCTTGCTGGTTGTTGTGTCTTCTTCTGATCATGTTTCTGTTGAACTAACTGCTGCTCAGTACCTATTTTTTTTTACTCCACGTCAGGTTTGTCTAAAGCATGGATGTCCTTTCTTGTGTCTTAACTACTCTGTAGATTGGTTTTGCATGGGTGTTGTTCCTCTTGTTTGTTTGTTTTTAGTTTCTGAGGATCTGGCTCGGTGTTGTGACCAGGTGTCTGGTTGGCTAAACTTTTGTCAAATTGGTACTCTTTTTGTCTGGACACAATCAGGTTCTCTTGGTTCCAGGCGGGTGCTCTGGTGTGGTTTGCGTCTTCTTTCCTATCAAACATCTTTCATTCTTATTTCTCCTCCTTCTTCTTTTGTGTTTGTTGCTTTCTTGTAACACCTCTTATCTTCGGCACTCATATGACTTTATTGTGTTGCAAGTGCTGCAACACTCTTACTGAAACTAACTGTTGGTTCCAGTTGTGATCAATACTGCACATTTCTTGATGTTCACTGTTTCAGTTATCTTGTATTGCAGTAAAAAGAAAATGGAAGTGTCAGTATACTGCACACTTAATTGCCTCTTGTGTGATATGGCAAGGTTTAGGAGATGAATGTTAGTGTCCCTTAGACACACGAGGGAGATGTGTGGTATTTGTTGTTAGTTTTTTTGTGAAGTTTTACTCTGGCAGTTCAATTGGAAGTTTTGATTTCTGGTCTGTGTTTAGTATTATAACGTAAAATGAAGTAATTACTCTGCAAGCAGGCAAAAGGAGTGAAGAGGGGACAAACCCTCTGCTTTTTTGCTCTGGCGAAGTGGAAAATTTCTTGTAATGTAGTTGTGGCAATATACATTTTTGTTGGTTTATGAGGAACTTTGTTTTGAGACGCAGAATTCTGATCACATAATTTTTAGCTAGTCAGGATGACAGTTATTGCGGAGAACAAGAGTTGTATTTTTACTTTGTGGGTGGTTGGTGGGTGCTCTGGTATGGTTTGCTCTTTCTTTCCTATCAACCATTTATCATTCATTCTCGGAAGTTCCCTCCTTTTTTGTTTTTGTTAGTTACTATATTGTAACACTTCAAATCTTTGGCACATTAGTAGGACCTAATTGTGTCGCAATTGCTATAAAACATTTACTAAAACTAAAAAAACAACTTCATCTCAAACATTTATCATCTTTAACTCTTCTCCTTCTTTGTGTTTGTTACACTTTTGTAGCACCTCTAACATTCAGGGCATAATATAGGATTTTATTGTGTTGCAAGTACCGTAAACGCTTACTAACAAAAATGTTTGTTTTTCTTGTCCCCCCTCCCCGCTACCCTCCTTTAGAACATGCAGAAGAGCAGGCGGCAGCCATCGCCAGCGTGCAGCAGCAGGCAGGAACCATCACCCTGGACCCCACGCTACAGTACCAGCTGAGGGCCGACAATAATGTTGGTGAGTGGCTGCTTTCAGGCTGGTACAGGGCACACACGTTCTCATTTGCTTGCTCTCTCTCTCTCTCTCTCGCTCTCCCTCTCTCTCTCTCCCTCCCTCCCTCT